GAATCGCTGAAAAATATAAATTAAGTTATTATATTTGTAGACATAATAAAAGTACTTACCCATTAACATGAAATTTCATATGAATTTGTAAAAATGCATGACGAACGGCTCTATCTAGCATACAACAAGTCAACAAAAATCAACTACACTAGCAACCCGACATGAAAAACTAGTGTTACTACGATGAAAATAAAATATTGGTTTAAAATACTGAAAAATACTTAAGAATACTTACGGGGGATTTAAAAATATTTGATTGATATTAGGTCTAAAGTTTAGAGTGGGATGCCCCTAGGGGTAAACGCTCCTATAGTCGCGGTACGTTAGAAGCGTTAGGTTCCTATAGTTGTGTATGGAGACTCAATACACAACTATAGGAACCTAACGCTTCTAACGTACCGCAACTATAGGAGCGTTTACCCTATTTACACATCTATTTATGACCAGGGTTTCAATGTTTCTGTCGTCATGACAGCCATCACAAACCGACGACGTCCCTCAGCTTACCCAAGTGGCTGTCTCGAAAAGGCTGTCACGACACATTATATACGATTGATATACGGCAGTGGAGTATGGAAGAAACCCAGAAGAATGATCCCGAACATATATGTCAGCCCGATGGCCAAATGTCGGGTCGATGTCGGGTCAATTCTGTGTTTAGGTCGGGTCAATGTCGGGCCAACATCGGGTTGGAGTTTGGTAGAAGTCAGGTTGGTGTCGGGTAGGCTTATATTTTTCGCCGGAGACCGCGCGTGGTTCATTTTCGTCCCCGTATTGTCACCTCTTCTCTTAGCGATATACAAACAAAATTTCAAATACAGCAGCAAACGAATCGGCAGTTTAACGGACTGCTTGTTGTATGTACGAGGAACGTTACGAATCCGAGGATGTCATAGCCGAACGAACAAAATACATGACTAAGCACGAGCTGTCGTGTACTGCACAGGACGGCAACGTTGCATGTCGTATAACAGCCTCACTGTGAGTTGTCGCTTATAGCTCAATCTCAAGGCTGTCGTAGGAAAAAGAAAGCGACAGCCATTGAAATACTGTCATGAGGCGGTACTTTTGGTATGCCTGCCCCTACCTGTTCATTATATTGGTTTGCCTTTGCGGACTTCGGTTCGCGAGAAAATGGCCTGACAAGGTTTGTTTACAAAATGGAGTTAAGGTCATTTCAATTGTTGGTCTTGAAATGTGATAAATTATTAATCTCTATTTATGCTTTTAGATTAGCTACGAAAGTCCCTCATACTTGGAAAATTATGCTATAGAACGGTTTATACAACCCCAGTTTTTTTTGCATAATTCTTCAAGTAGGAGGGACTTGCAATGCTTATCTCTTAGCATAAATAGAGGTACGGTCGAGTTTATTTTCAGTGCTAGTTTCTGAAATTCGACAGTGAGCGTTCAAAAGAGCCTACTTGTAATGTTCGATTTTTTCATCGATTTTCTGTTTACAGCTAAGCGAAACAATTCAAGCTGAACATTGCATTAGGTCCTAAGTAACACTAACAAGATTCTCTTCGTCGACTTTCTCCTTGAATCCACTCGGCCGAGGTATTTTCAGCACACATATCGATAAAAGCATCTAATACGACAAACACAACAAGAAACGATCCTGTGCTCAAGTTATTCAGGCTGTGTTCCATTTGGTGAATGTTTACTTAAATTTGACAGATGTAAAATTTGGAAAAATAACCTGCTTATTCAGCAGACTTATTTCTGACATTCAAGGAATCAATTGGACAGACGCTTTTTCGAAAATTGGCCGATCTACAACAGAGGGGTTTGCGAACATCTTAATTTATTTTCGAAGTGTCAAATCTAAGTGAAAATTTTCCAAATTGAACACAGCCTTAGTTTTTTTTTTTATTTGTTCAATCGGTAGATAAAAGATGTACCGGGAACTTTTTGGAGGGATTCATGGCTAATTGATATCATCTCGATCTACTATGAAATGTTACATAACATTGATGCAAAATTGTGCACTCCGTTTTTGTGTGTGCATTTACTTTTAGCGTTTTGAAGTTGAATCGCTCAGGATGAATCTCATTACCATAGAAAAATTTCAAGAGTACAGATATCAGCTCTCACAAAACTTATAACAAAGAAACTGAAACTTCACGTTTGTTGCAGTTCAGTACACAAGGAGTTTCAATTTCATGAGTGATATCACAACTGTCCAAGATTTATGTCCTATAAATCTTGAAGTGATAGGGAATATCAGCTATCATGATGGTCATTGTTGGACGCTTCAATAAATCACCTGAAGAAAGCTTTACTCATATCTGATTGTAATAAAATAATCTTTTTGTAATTTAGGAACCAAATGAAATAGAATATGTATTCGCATTTTCATGAGGTCCTGAATTTAACCAAGTGTTACTAAGTAGGAAATCCAAAATATGTACATATGACCGAAATCATAGGTTATTTCTACTGTATTTTAAATCAATATCTAAAAAAAAATGCACGAAAATTTCACTACATAGCTTAACGTAGTCTACGTCAACCCTGCGGTTGTGTCTTGTACACAACCCCACCTTTTTTTTTTATTTAGCTCTAAAGTGCCTAGATCCGTCTGGGCTACAACCCTGGATTTTTGAAATTAAAAAAAATTTCAACTGTAGAAGAGATTACTCCACCACCAAATAAACGTCAATTTTAAGGTAATAAATGTCCAACATTTTGTTTTTGTTATAGTAACTACAGTGAACAGGCTGATTACCGGCAGGTATTAAAATTGTCAAAAAAATGGCCTATTTTCAACATGGGTGGGATTTTTATTTCTTAATATTTTGGGCTCAAATTTTCACCACACTTTGGAAAACTTTTGTACTTGATGCTTTTGTACCAATTTGGACAAATAGTTTTTGAGATATTCTGGGCTGGATTTTCACGTATTCTGGGCTGGATTCTAATTATATGAAATCATAACTATCTCATTTATTTACTTATGTCCATAATTTAATTGTAGTCCTAAAAGTGAAAAATACGTTCCTATGGGATACAGCACGTTGAACCTTTACTGTTCATTTTTTGAAAATACACATTCATGAACGTAACTGTCATGTTCTTCTACTACGCATTTGAAACTTATTGCTTATCGCATATTAGCTTAATGCGTGCTCTCAGCTTAGTGTTCTAGATGCACTTCCACAGTTATTAATTGAGAGCTTTCGATGCCAAAATCAATGCATGAGCATGAGCATGAGTATGATTGACCACCCATGGTTGCTACTCTGTTATTGTCAGACCAGCTGTAATTACACAGAGAACCAATAGACGATGCTTGGGACTAGCAATCATCCTCAATGTGTAAAAACTGGTGATCTCGAATTAGGCAATACCAGCGCCAGCCGCGCCTGAACGCAGGTCAAGAAAGGAATGGGTAGGAATGTGTTGACGTGACACTCGCTTTGATGGAAGCCGAGGTGTCCTCTGCACTTCCACGAGGAATCACAGGGATATTGGTTCGTTTGGCACGGGATATCGCCTCTTGAGTTGAGGCACATTAGCAGCGCTGTTTTATAACTTTTCTGATCCAAGCAGCACGATGTGCAACCAAATTGTACTTGATTATGAGGACTGGGTTTGGGGAGAACGGTTTATTTCATGAAAACAGTGATAAAATTATCACTTATTATTTGTCCATTTTTAAAACAGTTTTTTTTTATGAAAAATTGAAAAAAAGTTTATTGCAACCGCTTACGAAAGGTATTTCATATCGATTGGTGTATTCGGATTTCAATTTCAACTATAAATGACATCTTTTCGTGACGGTCACAATTTTAGATTTTCGATTTACCCCCAGTACCTTCCCGTAAGACGTAGTCTACGTCAAAAGTTAGAACAAAAAAACAGTGTTTTTTTTCAGAACCACCCTATCTTAATTTATAAAAACGGTTATAGAATTATGTGTTGATGAGATAGAATTTTGATGTTTTTATTGAATTGCTTGACATTAAATTATCTTTGACTTTGTATGAGCAAGTATTCCCCTAAAACTTATAAATAAAAAGTTACGATTTTTTATTTAAAAAAAAATTAACCACCCTAGTCTCAACCTACGCCAAAAGGAAGATCTTATCTTGTCGACAAACTCTTCTTAAGACATAAAACCCCTAGAGTGTATATTTTTCGAGATATCGGGCCTTATTACGGGTGTCACTACACGGTGATAAGGAAGCGATATTCGGAATAAAAGCCGTGATTGCCGTACAAATCAAATGGGATTCACTTCACCGTGACGACAAGTGACAAGTTTTCACCGTGAAGTGACATCCGTTATAAGCCCCATCGATTTTTGTCATGAAATGTTTGCGTTTTCGACCATAGTGCATAGGTAATATTAATGGGTATGATTTAATTGTTATTCGCGAGATATTGCCGATGGAAGTCAAATGTGACAGTTCAGTTATATCGCAGTAAACCTGTATTTCCATAGATTTCCGTTCTTATTAATAATGTTTTTCCAAATTGCAAATTTGGCAAAAATTGCAGTTAAATCATACATACTTGATTTTCTCACAAGAATCCTCATCCAACTGTGATGTTCCGCATCATTTGAAGCGTCCTGAGATCTTTACAAAAATGCGCCCTCACCAATCAAAATAGTTTTCATGAGAATCCTATTTAAATTGAGATGTTCCGTATAACTCGAAGAGTTCTGCGACCTCTCCAAAGACGCTCCCTTTTTGCAATTAAAATAGGTCTCACATAAATCCTCATTCAGTTCTGATACCGTATCTGTGGAAATATTCTGGGATCTCTTAAAATATGCACCTTCCCAGCAATAAAAATACCTAGGTCTTCTAAGTGTGAAAAACAAGCGATGATGCTGATATTTGAACATGCATCGGAACCCTACTCCAAACCTTTTTTTTTTTGTTTCCAATCTCAAAACCGAGGTTTATAAGTGTCAACAAGCAGAGCTTAGGGCCATAGTTCGATGTGGTAGATCCCGTAACGTACCACGAAAAGGTGATCTACCCACGATACTTACCTGGGACAGGGGCTACCGTGATCATGACGCCGGTTCCCCCAGGGTGAGACTTGTCCATTGCACTTCGGCCAAGTTGAACCCTGCGATTATCCCTAATGTGGATACTCTTGTTAAAATTTTTGATAGCCGGGATTTCCGAACGCACACACCCCAATAAAAAAATAATCGGGCTCTTAGAGTCTAATAAACTTATGAAACTTTAGGGCATTTTTTTTTTTTTGGCGTCTGAGATTTAAAGCAATAGGGTTCTTTAAGAAAATTATGGTAAATGCATATTCGTAATATTCGTAGGGGCCTCATAGCTTAATCAGTAAAGGCACGGTATTACCAACAATCAATACGAAACTAACGATTTTAAATTGGCACACTACTTGACTAGCCTATTGGTCCCAAGCAAACGATTAACGTATCCCATTCTAGTCGAAATTCTAGTACTACGCAATGTTTGTTTTGATTCGCTATGAAAGTTTGACAGATAAAATGAGGGGTTATTGGTTTTTCCTATGTTTCGAGGGGTGAATCGATTAGCTTGGGACCGAAGATAGTACCAGAGCTGAGCCAAAAAGTTGAGCACGTTTCTTCGGGACCTACTAGTCTTAGAGTTACCTCTATGGTATTACCAAGCCGGAGGCGGCGGGGTTCGATTCCCGGTCCGGTCGATGTAATCTTTCGGGTTAGAAATTTTTTCCACTTCCCTGGGGATATAGTATCATTGTGCTTGCCACACAATATACAAATATGTACATGCATTGGTATTGGCATCGAAAGCTCTCAATCAATAACTGAGGAATTGTATTTACACTAAGTTGAGAGCACGCAATAAGCTAATATGCGGTAAGCAATAAGCTTGAAATGCGAAGAAGAAGAAGAAGAAGAAGAAGAAGAAGAAGAAGAAGAAGAAGAAGAAGATGATGAAGAATAAGAAGAAGCATAATAAGAATAAGAAGAAGAATAAGAAGAAGAAGAATAAGAAGAATATTCATAATGGTTACAATAAAATATAATAAATTATGTACGGTAAGATCGTTCCAAAATTTCGCTATGATGTCACTTGAATGTTATTGATGAATATATAGCATATAAATATATATATATAATTTAAAACCTCATGGTTTTATGATACGTTTTTAAAAAGGAACTAACTAGATGTTACCACTGACCAATTCTCTACAGATTGACGAATTTTTTAATTTTTTTTTAATTTGTCGGCTCCGATTTTGATGAAAATTTGCACAGTTGTTCTTTTTTAGTAAAGATGCCAATTTGTGTTATCAGTTCTTCAAATTGAATCACGACTACTTTTCTAACAGGGCCTGTGTAAAAATAGTACTAATTAGTTAAAAAATGTATATTGCTGAAACGCTTTTTTCGATTAATTTGGTGTCTTGAGCAAAGTTGTAGATATTATTTTGGCAATAATGTAAAAATATACACTGTAAAAAAATTCGTTTGTTTCAATGAAAAAAAATATATTTCTTATTAAAAAAAAAAATTTCTCAAAAAGTACATTTTCGTTTTAAGCCTCATTGAAGCTCATAATATATGCTACAAACTGGCAAGGTTTGGTGATGGTAAACTCAAAAACAAAAAAGTTATGATTTTTTGAAAATTTCACGATTTTTACATTTACATTAAAAACACATGTTTTTCAACCGTGTATATTTTTTCAAGAATTGCATTTTAATTTTGCACAACTTTCTCGAAGACACCAATGCAATCAAGCAAGCCGTTTTTGCAATATAGATATGTTTATTTCATTAGTGTTTACAAACATTATGAGCTTCAATGAGGCTTAAAACGAAAATTTTCAAAAATGTACTTTTTGAGAAATTAACTTTTTTAATAATAAATATAATTTTTTTCATTGATACAAACGAAATTTTTTACAGTGTATATTTTTTACACAATTGCCAAAATAATATCTACAACTTTGCTCTAGATCCCAAATCAATCGAACAAAGCGTTTCGGCAATATATATTTTTAAACTCATTAGTACTATTTTTAAAACAGGCCCTTTTCAAAAAGTAGTCGTAGTGGAAATGTCGAAATTGGTATAGACGTGTTCTACAAAATTTTAACAGAAATAATTTCGGAAGAAATTCCTTTGAAGAAAAAAAGACGCAGCAGAAACACACAAAATCCAGTCTGGTATAACAGACAAATAAAAAACTTGAAAAATCGGAAGCAAAAAGCACATAAAATTTATAAAAAACACAATAGTAGTAATAATTTATTAATTTATTTGGATATATGGGATCAACTGAATTTAGCTATCACTACTGCATTTGAAGAATATAATGCAAAAACAGAACATGAAATAAAGTCCTGTCCAAAGAACTTCTTTAACGTTTTCACTATTTCGCCATTTGACGTTTTCATGACGTGATATTGCAGTTACTAAAAACGAACCTTTCGCTTCGAAAGTTAAACTAAGAATGTTTTATTGAACAATATTTTACATATGGTGCTGAGAATGGAGACACTTGAAGCCACTATGTATTTTCGCTATTTACTCGATCGTTGGTGATCGATACCAAGAGTGGGAAAGAATGAACCAAAGTGTTATTTGACACTTCTGCCTTTTGGTGAGAATTGCTGAATGCGTTTCGTTCAATTCATCGAACTCATTTATGCATTGCATTGCTCAAATGGGTTCGATGACTGAAAAAGGTTTTTTGGAATAGCTTGTCTCGTCGCGGCATGGTGCCACTTATGAGACCAGCAAGCGTGGGAAGTTGCTGACATGTTTGATGCACATGTTACACTTCTTTAATTACGTAAAAACCAAATTAAAATCTGACAATTTTCCTTCAATAATGCAACTCGACGAAAATGTCGGTGATAGCTCGGAAAAAACTACAATCTATTTGCAAAATTTTTTCAAGTAATCTATACGACATTTTCTGAAGAAGATCGCGACCGCGATTATTTTGCATTTTTTTCCAGAATTTTCAAGGGACATTGGCCTCAATCAACTTCAAGTGCAGGATATTTTGCAGGCTTTAAAAAATTTAGACGCCTCAAAAGGTCCTGGACCTGACGGAATTCCTCCAGTTTTTATTAAATGTCTAGCAATGGAACTCACTGCTCCATTGTTCTGGATTTTTAATATGTCCCTGGAATCTGGAACCTTCCCAAAAACATGGAAAAGCTCATTCCTAGTGCCTATCTTTAAATCTGGCCGAAAATCTGACGTACGTAATTATCGTGGTATAGCCATTATCTCTTGCATTCCTAAACTTTTCGAGGCAATTGTCAACGAAAAATTAATTCTCCAAATCAAAAATAGAATTACTGACATGCAACACGGCTTTTTCAAGGATCGCTCGACCTCGACAAATTTACTTGAATTTATAGACTATTCATTGAATGCAATGGATAATGGAAACCACGTAGAAGCTCTCTATACAGACTTTAGCAAGGCATTTGACCGCATAGACATACCAATGCTACTTTTTAAATTGCAAAAAATTGCGAAAGGAAAGCGAGGGTCCAACAGGGCACCCGTTTGAAGTGATTTAAATAGGGAGAGTGTGATTGCCAACTTCCTATCGCTAACATTTTATGGATAAAGGGCGGGAACTTCTCCACACTCATGGGGAATCCTTCAGTCGCTTTTTCCATAGCTAATAATATGATCTTGTTTGCTGGAAGGAGAATCTTCTTCTGTTCCCGGTGGGTTTTATGTACTATATGCTCGTGGAGGACCAACGCGCCCTTCGTGTTTTCGAACGGAAGGTATTGCGTACCATCTACGGTGGAGTGGAGATAGATGACGGAACGTAGAGGAGGCGAATGAACCACGAATTGCACCAGCTGCTGGGAGAACCATCCATCGTCTACATTGCAAACATTGGGTGACTACGGTGAACTGGGCGCGTCGTAAGAATGCCGCACGACGACCCAGTGAAAATGGTTCTCAAAACCGACCCAACAGGAACAAGAAGAGGAGGCGCGCAGCGGGTAAGGTGGATCGACCAAGTAGAAGGCGACCTGCGAACCCTTCGCAGAATACGAGGCTGGCGAAGTGTGGCCATGGATCGAGTAGAGTGGAGACGACTTCTTCGGACAACAAGGCCTTAGCCTGATTGGTAAGGTGTAAGCTTCATAAATCCAAAAAATAGCATTTTAGCTGTAATGAGCATTTGCAAGCTTGGTGCTCAGAGACAACTTTCGTAATTATTACATTCCAGAAAAAGTTGCTGTCGATTTTCCTGGCAGAGAGGTATTATTTTAACTCATTGATGTTACCGGCTTTCAAAACCTAATAATTTACACGTTTATTATTTTAAAACTCCGGAAGATATGCTTAGTAACGGAATCTTTAAGGATCAGTACAAAACATGTGAACGCTTATGCTAATGTTCTGCCAATGTTTCCATTTGTTCAGCCAAGGATCGTAAATTGGGTTTTCTAGTACATGTGTTTCAAAATCCATTCTACCATTATGAACGGAACATGTTACAATAATTGGCTAAGCGGCATCGGTGAACATGCGATTTCCATTAAACGAATGATTTTGTTTGGTCTAACCATGATTGGCTCACGATTGGGAAGTGTGTGGCAAGCTAAATGCAATGATAATCACTTCTGAAGGGGTTCGTTGTTTCACAGCAATCGAACGGACGCTTACCACTCGCCACTGAAAAAAATCAACCTGTTTGCTGCCCATGCTTATGTTTAAAATCGATAATTTCACATCAATTTAATTTATAATTATTCTCTGTACCGACCACATGTTTAGGGTAGTTGCATCTGTGTTGACCTTTGTATGAAAAGTTTCTACTAGATAAAAGTCTCAAAATTGCGCTCAGAAAATTGATTGATAGCTTGTCCTGTAACAGCAGCCATTGTTTACAAAAGCACTAACGTCAATTTCAAGGATGAATTTTACAAAGGTTGTATCTACTGTGGATACTGTGAATGACTATTACGTTTGGTTGGTAGATTGGTTATCTTTTATTCAGGAGATTTTCAGCCAAACTATAACGTTTGCATTTCGACAGACACCTAAATACTTGAAAGATATACTTCGAGTGATTGTTCTACCCTTTAGTTGAAGCTGTAACTGTGCAAGATGATGCTTCCTAGAAAAAACAACCAACTCAGTTTTCTCCGGAGAGAATTCGATACCCAGCTTCATAGCCCAAGTA